TCAAAGATATCAAAAAGTGGTTAACTAGTAAAATGTTTATCAGGATATCATCAACATTTTACAAGTTAGCCACTTTTTGATATCTTTGACAGAAAATGAGATATATAGGCTCAAAGTGGACGATCCGGGTGTCGTTCTATTAGAGGTTTTACGGTATTTTTATTTTGATTATTTAACTTGATATTTCAGTTTTAAGTCATTTTCAGCTTTAAACTTGATTTCCATTTATTTTCATTCAGTTTCAGCCCATTGAATTTCAGACAAAAGTTAACCGATTTTGGATTGTATAGGTTTGAGAGTCTCTTTAAGCGTACTTACCGTCATTCCTTTAATAAAAGCATACCGACAATTGTCAACTTTGAGCTCATACATCTCAGTTCTTCTAAAAGATATCAAAAAGTTGTCAACTAACACAATGCTTATCATAATATCACCAATATTTTATCAGTTGACAACATTTTGATATCCTTCACAGGAATCAAGATAATCAAGCTCAAAGTTAACGGTTTGGGTGGTCAGATTAGTACCTAGGCTTCAAAACGTCTTGAACTTGCAAAAATCTTTATATCTCCAAGAAAAGTGAAATAAGTCTTTCAATAAAAAATCTCATGTGTGAATTGAACATGATAGAGTTATTCGCCAAGAAGCACTTATCCCCCAACATGGCATCCATGGTTGGCATGGGTGGTTGGTGCTGGGGTAGTTGTGGGCACTTCTGTGGTGACACATGGAGTCGTGGTAGTTGGCACAGTGGTCGTGGTTGACTCCTCGGTTGTCACACATGGTGTGGTCGTGGTAAGTTCAGTGGTAGTAGTGGTTGCATCAGGGGTAGTTGTCGTAGTTAGCTCCGTGGTCGTGGTAGAAGGTTCAGTGGTCGTGGTGGAAGGTTCAGTGGTAGTCGTGGTAAGAGGTTCAGTGGGTGTGGTGGAAGGTTCAGTGGTAGTTGTGGTAGGAGGTTCAGTGGTTGTGGTGAAAGGTTCAGTGGTAGTCGTGGTAGGAGGTTCAGTGGTAGTTGTAGTTGGCTGAGGTGTCGTCGTTGTAGTTGTGGTCGTTGTAGTCGTCGTACTTGTTGAAGTGTTTCTAGCAGGAACGGTTCGAATATCTGTGGTCAAACAATAAGTATTACATCCGTATCCTTTCACAGCACTGAAGCATTAATACATTAGTTTTCTTCGTAAAAATGTCACTTACGTTCCGTTCAGCGCATAATATGATGAATCACATATGTACAAACCAGTGCTTATATTAGCTTTTGAGTATTCAATTCTTGTTTCATCTTCTAGAGTAACCCAAGCCGCAACCTCACATCTGGAACTCAGAGAATAGCAGGTTTGATGTGCTGTCATACACCCATCATCTTCACCATATCTGAGCGAAAATGACTGTTTTATTCAAAATTACGGTTTCTTACTAGTCAACTCACGTCCATGTCAAATTGTAGTCACTGCTGTCGATATTGTCAAAATCATCTTTATTACAGCTTTTGCAGCCTGAAAGTGTACTTCCCGATTCATCGAAACCTTTAAGACTCACCTGGAATCGTACCATCGTTCGCAATTCTTCCCATTCTCGATCGACGACGTCCATGTCTTATGGTAAATTGAGAATGAGCCACTTCCAAGAGTTGGACCATTAAAATCAGGGTGATGAAAATGAATTTCCTCATTTTTCGTGTTCGATAATGTTCTCTCTTCTAACTAACTTCTTTTATACGGGTTGTTTCATTATGCATTCTGCTTTTTTTGTTGTCCTCTGCTGGATGGAATAATTTCAATGTGGTTATTATAATTCATTTTTCAGTTGGTTGGAAAATTTCGTAGTAGAGAAACATCGAAGAGCAAAAAATCAAATTTTAAGGAAATTTCTAGAAGATTGCAGTTATGAAAAAGGAGTTTTGGGGAGAGAGTACAAGAGGAATGTATACCAAATGAAGAGATTTTTAAAGCAAATAGCGATTATTTTCCATTCTGGAGTTCGAGAAGAATCTTGGCAATCGGTGCCTTTCCATTTCTGATGAGCGCATCGGTAAGTGGTCCAACCCAGTGATTTTTGGTTTTCAGAAGATCGATGAGTGCGTCGACTTGCTCGTCGGAGCCCTGGAAAAATTAGAGATGTTCTAAATTGATTAAGATAGTGATGGAGCCAATTTTCAAAAAACAAAAATGGGTTCTCCTCTCCCGTTAGCTTTGAGACAATTTATCTCGGTTTCTGTAGAAGGTATCAAAAATGTGTCAACTGATGAAATCATTAGCATAATATTACTAATATTTTATCAGTTGACAAAATTTTAATATCTTTTACAGGAGCCGAGATACATTGGTTCAAAGTTGGGACAGTTAGACTTAAGTTTCTCATAACTCCCATTGACCATCAAAATCTGATTTTCAGGTTCCTTTTTAGTTCAAAAACCAATAATCTAGCACTTTTAGAAACAGAGGTACAGCCGCTCAAAGATTTGGAGAGACGCAGACAGTTAGAGTGTCTCGTCGTCTGCGTCTCTAGCTCCTAAAAGCTCAAATGGCTGTATCTCACAATTCCATTCAAGTTTCACTAAAAATGACTTACCTAGCTTTCTCAGAAGCCGAGATATGGTAATTTGAAGTTTTAGAGAGACGGTAATTTGTATGGATGATTTGGTTGAAAATTTTCATGTTAAAATTTTGAGTGGTGAGTATTTTTCAAAAATTAATGAAACTTTTTTAGAATTTCCCAATCTTCCATGATCTGAGCTTCATCTTAATCCAATAAACCACGTTTCTAGCACTTCTAGAAGCTGAGATACAGTCCTTCAAAGTTTTAAAGAGACGCAGACAGTTAGGGTGTCTCGTCGTCTGCGTCTCTAGCTCCTAAAAGCTCAAATGGCTGTATCTCGGCTCCCAGTGGTCCTAGACTCATGATTCCGGTAACAAAACCTCTGATTTTCTATTTATATCTTTTGAACCTTTGAATCCCTCACCTTAGCATAAAGAGCTCCCATCTCATACGATCTGAGCACATTTCTGGCCACAAGCAGTGGGACAACATCACGAATGTTGATTTGTTGAAGAGAGTCACGAAGACGGTCCAGATTGTCCGCTTGAAGAGCACGAATGTCAGCCAAACTTGGCGAGCAGCTAACGGTGGCCATGTTTTTTCTGCTTTTAAGGCTTCTGGAATAATTCAACGTTTTTGAGGTGGAAAAATCCGGGGAAAATGAAGCATGAGAAGATGAAGCATCATAAATACTCTAATAAAAGCCTACACAACTTTGAGCTCAATTATCCCAGTTCTTCTAAGAAATATCAGAAAACGTTGGTTTTGGTTTTGTTAGGTTAAGTAATTTATCAGTTGACAACTTTTTGATATCTCTTATAGGAAACGAGATAAATGAGCTCAAAGTGTTTGGTTAGGGGTGCGCTCATTGACGGTATTCCTGTAGTGAGGATTTTTCTTAAAGGTGGGGGGACACGAAAAAAATAATATTCTCGAAATTCCGTTCAAAGATGCCCCTCGAGGAGTTGAACTTGTGAGGGCGATGATTGAGGGTGCGGCGCAGCTACCGACTGAGCCACGCGGGCAAAGAGAAAGGGCACGCCCGATTGCATACATAAAGGCGAGGACGACAGCTGTACGCAGAGTGACATTAAGCGTTGTACACCGTCACGGTAGAATGCATACTCTAGCTACAAAAATAAAACTACGAAAAATCTCCTGTCCCCCTACCTTTAATAAGAATCTCTGTTTGTCAGGATCTTTTTGTAGTGAAAATTTTTTCTTAGTAAGGATTTTTCTTAGTGAGAATATTTCTTAATAAGGACCTTTCTTCGTGAGGATTTTTCCTGATAAGAAACTTTCTTAGTAGAATCTTCCTTACTAGGGAAGGTTGTAATCGGGGGGTGGAACTTCGGTATGTGACCTATATCATTCGAAAGCTGAGAATGAGACATTTTCAAACATGTATTCAGATTTTGCTGAGGAGCTACTAGTTTCGAGAAAATCAAGTTTCAAATTTGGCTCAAATTTGACTCTTAAGGGCGCCGCGCCTCACCTCTTTCTTATATAGATTGGGGGAAGGGAAAGAACCAGACAGGAGTGGTGTAGTGGCGAGGAGGGATGAAGAGTATCCAACCGGTTGTAGGTTCGATTCCTCTTCTCGTTATTGTTTTTTGATTTTGTTTTTGGTTTTTGTGGCTATCTTCAAAGTGTTAAGAACGCATTTTCTTCAAAGAAAAATTTCAATTGGATATTTTTTTTTCACTTTTTGACAAGTTTTGAAAAGTACATAATCCATAGCTGTTGCAAATTTCAGTTAGTAAGGGTTTTTCGTAGTGAGGATTTTCCTTAGTAAGAATATGTCTTGATGAGGATTTTTATCAATAACTACTTTTCTCCCATTAGTAAGGATCTTTCTTAGTGAGAATCTTTCTCAGTGAAAATCTTTCTTAGTGAGGCTTGGCTCCACCCAAGAAATCTTGAAAAGAATGCAATAAAGAGTCCAAAAAGGGTTCAATCTTCTTTTTTGGAAAATTGAGAATCCCATGAAGAGCTTTTGGAAGCTCAAATAGAGAGGCGATATCATAAATCACTTGAAATCTTTTTCTAGATTGAAAAAGTCAGTGAAATGGGGTAAAAGAAGATGCAAAATCAAGTAAAATGGGTAGGAAAAGGAAAATGAGAATCTCAAAAAGGCAATTGGAAAACAAAAAATGAATCTCTTCTAGAAAAAATAGAAATAAAGAGGAAATGAAGAAAAAGGGGGAAAATGAAGCTGGTGAGAAGAGAAGAAGGGGAATTTGTTTTCGTTTTTGGCAGAGGAAATTGAGCTAATTAGGAGAGGCGAAGAGCATCAGCGAGCGCGAAAATAGACACTAAGAAAAAAAAAGGAGTGGTCACAGAAAATTTGTTTATTTTTGGCGCCTCTTTTTTGGTATGGGAAGAGGAAGAAGAAGAAGAAAATTGGAAAAACAACGGATTATGAGTTGTTATGATGGGAAATTGGGGGTTAAGTTGAGGGGTTAAAGACGGGTTAAAGGTGGGGGGACATGAAAAAAATAATGTTCTCGAAATTCCGTTCAAAGATGCTCCTCGAGGAGTTGAACTTGTGAGGGCGATGATTGAGGGTGCGGCACCGCTACCGACTGAGCCACGCGGGCAAAGAGAAAGCGCACGTTGTACACCGTCACGGTAGAATGCATACTCTAGCTACAAAAAAACTTAATCTCCTGTCCCCCCACCTTTAAGGGGGAATTTCCGAATTTCTTCTTGACCACCCAAACCGTCAACACTTTGAGCTCAATTATCTCAATTCCTGTTAAAGATATCAAAAAGTGGTCAACTGATAAATTGTTTGGTATAAAAATCATAACAAAAAAATTTAAATTTTCAGGGAAAACGAGGTCCTCAAAAATTGTAAAAAAAACCAAATCATCTAAACCTGTAAAATGGGTACTATGAAAAAAATCCCCCATAACTTTTTGAACTGTAGTTCTAGCAATCCATCTTGCCTCAAAGTGATAAATGTTTATTTCCGTTTCTTCTCTTCCAAAAGCTCCAAGAACCCAACCAATGTCTCTATTAAAAATGCATCACACTTCCTCTTGTCTTTTGTTTCTATCATTCTTTATTACCCTTTCTCTCTGCGTCTCTTCGTCTTTTATAATATTTCTTTGTTCTTGAGAAATGGCAACATTTTTGGGGCAAGGGACGCTTCTATTTTTTGGGTGCGAAGAGAAAAAGAATACACATTTTTTTGGGTTCAAGGGGACAATATTTCTTTGGGTTCCTAAAAAAATTTTTTGAAAAACTTTTTTTTTTCCTTCTAGATGCTTAAAAAGGCACTAATTTTGATTTTAATTTTTTTTTTTCAAATTTCATCAGATGTGAAATTTTACGCTGATTTGAACAATACAAAAATCAACGCACTACATAAAAATTCAAAAAAGTTATGGGGATTTTTTTCATAGTACCCATTTTACAGGTTTAGATGATTTGGTTTTTTTTACAATTTTTGAGGACCTCGTTTTCCCTGAAAATTTAAATTTTTTTGTTATGATTTTTATACCAAAATACTTCTATTTTCATAATCTACAAGAATATATAAGTTTCATTAGATAATTTCAATTTTTAAATACACTTATGGCTAAAAAAGGAAAGTACCTAGAGCTAAATATTGAGCAACTTTCAAGCTTCCTGTTCTCTCTGAAAATCCAAAATTTTCATATGATTCTTATACTAAAATACTCCTTATTTCATAATCTATAAGAATATATAAAAATTTCTAAGAAGTTCCAGTTTTTGAGGCACTTCTACTAATAAGTTAAGTACTAGCTTACCACCTGCAATCAGCCAATTTGTTAATTTCTATTTAATTTTTAGTTCAATTTAGTTCAAAATTTTTGAAAATTTTTGGAAAAAAAAAACAGAATATATCGGGAAATTTGAGATTGGCTATTAATTTCCATCAACTTAAGCCTCAATTTGTCCTCAATTATCTCACTTGCCATGAAAGCTATCAAGAAGTAGTGAACTGATAAAATGTTGATCATATTATCAGCTACATTTTATCAATTGACCAATCCATGAATTCTAGGGAACATTTGAATTCTGAAATTAATAAATTTCCAAAAAATCATAAATTTAAAAAGTTCCTAAAAATCAGTTATTTGAGAATCGAGAATCTTCAAACAGTCATTATCGGCTCATCAGTGGTAAGCTAGTAACTTATTAGTATAAGTACCTTACAAATTGGAATTTTTTAAAAATTATGAAATATTCTTGTAGATTATAAAATAAGGAGTATTTTGGTATAAAAACCATTTAAAAATTTCAGGGTTTCCTGGAGAACAGGAAGCTTGAAAGTTGACTAACTTTTTGAATTTCCTCCGATGAATGGGGGTATTAAGGTCCAGACACAAAATACAAAGAAAAACACGGTTTTATACAAAAATATTTTTGAACAAAAAAAAAATTTAAATATCATATTTATTCAACTTTAGAAGTTCAAAAAGATTCTAATTCCGATTTAATTTTTCGAATTTAACACTAGGAGATATACATTTTTACGCTGATTCCAACGATATAAAAACACAGCTCTAACATAAAAATCAAAAAGTTATATGCATTTTTTTCATAGTACCCTTGTTTTTTAGGTTATTATGAAACGTTTTTTTTCACAATTTTCGAGAACCTCGTTCTCCCTGGAAATTCTAAATTTTTTGTCTGATTTTTATATTAAAATACTCCTTGTTTTATAATCTACAAGAATATATACAAGAATATAAGAATATTTTGAAGGCACTTATGACCAAAAAAGGGCACTACCCAAAGCTAAAATATGAGCAAATTTCAAAGCTCTTGTTCTCGTTGTAACTTTTAAGATTTGTATATGATTTTTATACCAAAATACTTCTTCCTTTATAATCTTTAAGTATATATTAATTTCATTATGCGATTCCAGTTTTTAAAGGACCAGGAAAATTATGAAAGGTACTACCAGGAATTTTTTGAGTCAAAAGTTGCCCAGGCAAGCTACCCCCAAACCCTTTCTGCAGTTCCCTGTGCGCTTGCAACGACGCTCCGCTGTTCGGCTGACGACAAGCGCGCCAACCGGGGTGAGTTTGAATTAAAGTTAGTTCTTGAACAGCTAGTTGTGTCAGTTTGGACGATTTAAGTCAGTTTAGAGTTTTGTCTAAAGTATCTTTTGGTGATATTGTTGTTCTTTATTAATTATACGGAATAATAAATATTATTTTTGTATAAAACCGTGTTTTTCTTTGTATTTCGTATCTGGACCTTAAAGGTGGGGGGACAGGAGATTTTTCGTAGTTTTTTTGTAGCTAGAGTATGCATTCTACCGTCACGGTGTACAACGCTTAATGTCACTCTGCGTACAGCTGTCGTCCTCGCCTTTATGTATGCAATCGGGCGTGCGCTTTCTCTTTGCCCGCGTGGCTCAGTCGGTAGCGGCGCCGCACCCTCAATCATCGCCCTCACAAGTTCAACTCCTCGAGGGGCATCTTTGAACGGAATTTCGAGAACATTATTTTTTTCATGTCCCCCCCCCCACCTTTAATACCCCGATTAATCGGAGGAAATTCAAAAAATTAGTCAACTTTCAAGCTCCCTGTTCTCCAGGAAACCCTGAAATGTTTAAATGGTTTTTATAAAAAATTCAAATAGAGCTTAAAGTTTCCATCAATTTAAGCCTTAACTTGATCAAATTTAATGAAAATTGAAATTTAAAAAAAAAAAAAAAATAATTATTCAAAATTAAAATTTGGGCAATTTTGAAGCTTTCTGTTCTCCTTGGAAATCCAAAATTCTACAAATTTCAAGATTTTCTATATAAAAAAAAAGTGGCAAGATCAAAAAGTCGTCGTCTTGGCCGCCCCGGGCCGATTTGAACAACAACAACAAAATGGAAATCTAACGAAATTTTGCTCCGAGATGTTCGTTGTTTTCGGCTCCTCCTTTTTCTTGACCAGCCGCTTTTGGGGGGGGGGGGGGGATTTTGCAGGAAAAGAGAGAGAGAGAGAGAGAAAAAAGATTTTGCAAAAGAAGCGGAAGAGCCAGACGGCCTAAAGTCATAAACAGTGCCAACCATCTGCTCGAATGTGTGTAAGCTGTGACAAAACGAACATAAGGAGGAAACGGGAGACGAATTCATGAGGCGTGAAAAAAGAGGGCCGCGGTTGGCCGCGGCCTATTCTTGTAGATTATGAAATAAGGAGTATTTTTGTATGAAAATCATACCAAAATATTCAGAATTTCGGGGAGAACAGAAAGTTTTAAAAATGTACAATTTTTAGGTGTGGGTAGTAGTTTTGGCTCTTTTCTAGTTTAGAGGTCCCAAAAAAGAATAGAGGTCCGAAAAAAAATTAGAGGTCCCAAGAAAAAATAGTGGTCCAAAACTTAAAAATGCACAGATACCGGAATAATGTACTAAAATTTGAATTGTGTAAGAATTTAAAGTTTTGAGGTCTTATAGCAAAATAATTGTTGATGATATATTTTATACTTCTAATAGGCTTAGGAATGCATATTTTCTGGCAATTATCTAAGCCTGAGAAACAGCATAATCACGGAGTGATTACTGTATTGCCCAAATTTTCCTCATATGTAAATTGTGTTCATCGGCAAGATGCGAGAGAATTGGAGCTAAAATTGTTAGGAGTAGTCATGTCATCCTGTAAGACCCTAAAACTCAAACTACTCGCACAGTTCAAATACTAGTACATTATTCCAACATCTGCGCGTTTTTCGTATTTTGGACCTCTATTTTTTCTTGGGACCTCTAAACTTTTTTGGGACCTTTAATTTTTTTTGGGACCTCTAAACTAGAAAAGAGCCGTAGTTTTCATAGTTCTCGAGGTCGAAAGTATCTCGCAAAATTCAGAATTTCTTAATGAAAGTTATATATTTTTGTAGATTATGAAATGAGGAGTATTTTGGTATAGAAATTTTTTTTAAAAATTCAGGATTTCAGGGAGAACAGGGAGCTTGAAATCTGCTTAATTTTTAGCTCAAAAGTTGAAAGGGGGTAGTACCTTCAAATTTTCTCCTCTGCCTTTAAAAATCAAAATCACTAAATAAAGCTTATATATTCTTGTAGCTTATAAAATAAGGAGTATTTTGGTATAAAAATCATACCAGAAATCTAAAATTCCAGAGAACAGGAAGCTTTTAAATTTGCCTGTGTATAATAGAAGCCCACCCACACATTCCCTTTCTACTCAATTATCTCGGTCCCTTTAAAAGATATCAAAAAGTGGTCAACTGATAAAATGTTTATCATAACGATATCAATATTTTATTAGTTGACAAATTGTTGAAATCTCTCATAGGAACCGAGATAATTAAGCTGAAAGTACAAGAATGTAAGAGCGCCACGCTGCCCCATGAATTAATTTCTAGAAAAGGACCTCCCCTGCTTCTGGGTCTATGTCCCTTGACTTGTAAATCCCCTAGGGGGTCCGTTTTTGCATAAGCACAAAGAATCGAAGGAGGGAAGTGACAAAACGTTTTGTCACATCCTAATTTGCATATTGTTCCTTGTCCTTTTATTTTTATTTGCAAAGAAGAGTCAAAAGCCAAATTTTTGGTGCAAAAAGAGATGCTAGATCATGAAAATTCAAGAAAAAAAGTTGAACTAGATGTTAGAAACCCAGAGAAAAACAAAAAACGCAAAAAAAAGAAACAAAAAGTTTCGCTCCCGGGTGGGCTCGAACCACCAACCTTTCGGTTAACAGCCGAACGCGCTGCTTATTGCTCCACGGAAGCCGCTGAGAGGGAAAGGAGTGAAAGGCGTATAGGAGGGAGAGGGAAATATGGGAGGAGGGGGAGAGGCAGGGAGACGCTAAGACACATTTTCTCACGGGTTAGTTTTTCAATTTTTGGGAATAATTTTTTTTGAAACATTTCAAAATAAAGAAGTATAAAACTACAAACAAGAATAATATAAAATGAAATCTGAGAGCTCCCCGGACCACCCTGAAATTTTAAATCTTATTCTATAATAACTCAAAGCTCAGAAAAGATACAATTTCATAAAAGAGGAAGGAAGAAGAATAGAATTGTGAGGTTTCTAAGAAAGTGGGTATACTACATACTACGGAGGGTGGATCCTCCACTTTACACATAACATTTCGGGATCCAATGTGTGTGTGAAGTAGTGGATACACAAATACATATAAAACCCAGGCAGGATACTCTTACGACTCTTGGTAGTGGCCCCCAGTATCAAATGGCCCATTTAAATTGGGGCTTTATTACTGGAAAATTTTGGCTAAAAGGAATTGGATCAATATATAAATTTTCCATGTGTTAAGTTCTAGAAGTATTCTCAATTTTTGACTTTTTAAAAATTAAAAATTCTGAAAAAATTTTTTTTGGAAAATTCTTTATTTTAGCGTTTTAAATAATTGAATTCAAAACAAAACAAATTGGTACCAAAATCACATTTCTAGGCCGGCTGGGCGCCGAGATACAGTCATTTGAAGTTTCGGGGGCTAGAGACGCAGACGACGAGACACTCTAACTATCTGCGTCTCTTCTAAGGGCTGTATCTCGGCTTCTAGAAACGCTAGAAGATTGGTTTTTAATCTGAAATAATGGCTGGAAACTAGATGTTTGAATTCCGATCATTATCTACCAAGTGCTAGAAGAATTTTTGAAAAATTTTAGTATTTAAAGAAAGAGCATTAAAAACTAAAGATTTTGGTCCTAAAATCATTTTTCTAGGACTATTGGGAGCCGAAATACAGCCATTTGAAGTTTCGGGGGCTAGAGACGCAGACGACGAGACACTCTAACTGTCTGCGTCTCCTCTAACGGCTGTATCTCGGGTTCTAGAAGTGCTAGAACATTGGTTTTTGAATTAAAATGATGGCTGGAAACCAGTTTTTGGAAAATAATTCAAAACTGTGTTTTAGCGTAATTAGGGACTACCGTAAAACCTCTAATAGAACGACACCCGGATCGTCCACTTTGATCCTATATATCTCATTTTCTGTGAAAGATATCAAAAAGTGGCTAACTAGTAAAATGTTGTTGATAACCTGATAAACATTTTACTAGTTAACCACTTTCTGATATCTTTCACAGAAAATGAGATATATAGGATCAAAGTGGACGATCCGGGTGTCGTTCTATTAGAGGTTTTACGGTAGTCCCTAATTACGCTAAAACACAGTTTTGAATTATTTTCCAAATTCCACCACAGTGGCGATGATATCAGATCTGCCGGTCTACTGGCCGTCGTTTT